TGCTTATCGAGTGTGTTTACAGTCCAGGACAGATCATCGCACGCGGAGCTCATGCATTAACATTACAAGCTGCTTTAACTCTTAAACATGCATGAAGAACTTTGCACTTAAGAATAGTTTTACACCTAAAAAAAGAATAGTTGTTTTAAAAAGTTTGAAATGACGCACACTTGAGATGAAGACTGCAGTCGTATCAGTGGCTCACGAAAAGCCTGTATTTATCGTACATATGAGGAAAGAATGTTGACATCACGTAACCAGATACCTTCGACACAAAATAAATTAATAAAGTTTAACAAATATGCCTGCAGATAAACCATACAGTATGCATTCACGCCAACTGGTGTAAAGCACACACATCCTAACGACTAGCGACATAAAAATTATTCTCAATATTTACTTTCTTAATATATGTTCGAGGTATCATTGTTCACGATTCATCAGAACTATTTGTATTTTTCTTTAAAATATACATTTTTCAGCTTTGAATTTTTCCTTTTACACCTGACGTCACCAACCAACAACGCATAAAAACAATCAATGATTGCGAATTTGATACAGAATGTAAATTAGCAAGTTAATTTACATTGAGTAATTTAATAATTTGAATTGAGAAATTACATTTCAGACAAAATATCAGGTGCTTTTTACAAACTAATTTTGCAGAAGCAACAGTCGAGTGTCTCCGAGCGACATACAGCAGCGGTGTATCATTCCTATCGATTCAATGACTCACTCATAAAGACACTCACCTGTTACTTTTCTGAATGAATCAGTGTTTAGAACAAATCCATTCAAATAAATGGTTCAATGACTCACCCCTAAAGCCACTCGTCCGTTTCGATCCTTAATGAATCAGTGTTTTGAACAAATCAATTCAAATGAATGATTCAATAACTCACTCATAAAGCCACTCACCTAGTTTGTTCCTGAATGAATCAGTGTTTAGAACGAATCCATTTAAATAAATGATTCGATGACTCACCCATAAAGCCACTCACCCGTTTCTTTCCTTAATGAATCAGTGTTTTGAATAAATCAACTCAAATGAACCATTCAATGACTCAGGCCATTTCCACATGTACACGGGTATTTTTATAAACGGAGTTTTTCCTTCTTCCGTTTTAAAAAAAAATCTCCGTCCACATGAAAACGCAAACGCATGCTATGAAGCACTGTCAAGAGCATGCCAAACCAACAGGTGGCGATATAATCTCAACCGTAAAGCCATGTTGGCCAATCAGAAGCCTGGAAAAGTTTCCAGTAGGCGGAGATAACAGCGCAGGCTCCGACGTCACAAGCCAAAAACTCCAGTTTCGCTGTCTACACGATAACACTGCAACCGGAGTATTTGAAAATCTTCACCTTGGCAGGAGTTTTCAAAAATGTTCGGTTTCAGTGACCTGGTGCTGCGTTTGCATGTGGACGAACGGCCAAACCATGTAGAAAAAGCTGCAGTTTTAAAAATAACCACGTTTGTGTGGACAGGGCCTCAGTGATTCTGTTTTTTGTTTGTTTTTTCTGACATGTTGGTGTTATATCTTTCAGTTGCACTGAGTAAATACAGCCAGATAAAACAAAAACTGTGTCTGTCTTCATTTCAGGCTGCAAAGCAACAAAATGTGAAGATCAGAGCTTTGATCTTTGTTCTGGGGTGCTGGACTTCCCTTGAATCACGAGTGGTCTTGAGGGGGAAAACAGCATAAATATATGAGTGTTTTCCCGACTATGGGCACTTTAATGGCCTAGGGGTTGATTTTTATCAAAACTTACAGATAAACTTAAACTTTTTATTATATGACGCTAGGACTTGGCGATAAAACGATAATTATCGCAATTTAATTTTCCTCGATAAAAAGATAACAAGAGTTCGATAAATGTTTGATACAATGTTTATGCACCACAAGCGGAACAAACCAGCGCGACTCATTTGAACCTTGCCACACACGGACCATTTATCCGCTCGGCTCAAAGCAGTGAGCCAACTTAGCGACTTTTCAGACCCCTTTAGCAACTTTTTTCCAAAAAAAGTGCCTAGCGACTTCTTGGACAACAAATGTAAAAGGCGATACGACGCAAGGATGTCATGAAAATGCTAATTAGCGTATGGTGTCATCTAG